CGAGAGAAAGAGTTCGAGAGATCGAGATTAAACGAAAGACAAAGGAGAAAGAGTGAGAGCGAGAGAGAGCGAGCGAGAGAAAGTGGGAGAAAGAGAGTGGAGAGAGAGACAGGCCTCGACTTCGAGAAAGGTGACGATAGATTGGAGCCCGAGGGAATAGTTAATTTTTTGTTTGAGTTCTTATAGGCCAAACACCGAGGTTTCTGGATTGAATCGGTGCTTTTCCCCTCAGGCTCCACCCGCAAAATGCAATTCTCATTCTCCGGTTTGCCAGCCTAGAGGTGGACGCCAGGAAAATTGGATTCCAACCAAAAGTTAATGGGAAATGAGGGTGGGGGTGTGGATGGGGCGGATTCTCTGAAATTGTTGCCTAGATTTTTCTGCTGGAGCTATTGGATCTTGGTCTGCGAAGAAATTCGTTTAGCCGATGTCTGAACGTTTTTTTGTAATTTTTGAATGGGGTTGGGTCATGAAAAAGTACGCACTTGAGCCGCTTAACAGATGTGAGCGATGTGAGAGATTTTTTTTGTATTTATATGGTTATGAAAAATTGCTTTGTATTTGTTTTGGCTATATTTAGGAAGGCAATCTAACTTTTTCGATGCATCTAATCGAAAATGTATATTAAATTGATATAATAACCATAAATCGTCGTTGGCACTTGCACAGATAATTCATGAATTAGCATGCCCTCTAAATAGAAAATGATAGCCAATAAAGGGATTAGGAAGCGCCAGAATCGACCCCTCGTCTGGCTGGGTCTCGACAGCTACGCGACCAGCCAAAATACGCACTGTTTCATCTTATGGGACTATTTTTCTGGCGTATACATTAAAGTTCTGCAGGCCTTTTTTTGCCGCGTCGTGTGGCTCTCTAGACCTAGGGGATTCGGGTGAATCGCTTAGCGCTTCTCAGTTCCTTTAAAACATAGTTGTGAAGCAGAATTTTTCGATTTTATAACGAAGATTTGCATTGTTAAAAAATAGAAAAATCAATAGCTCGATTCGACAAGAATTGGGCAGATCTGTGTCTCTAAACATCCGCAACAGAAAAACTAATAAAAATATGGAAGGTGGCAAGCAGGTGCAAAATGCAAAAAAAAAATATTTTGCACGTGCTGGCACCCGGCGTGGGGGTGAGACACTTTTTAGAAGAAAGGAAAGGGTTGCGATATTGTGGCCTCTAAAATTAGTGGGAAAGCGGGCTAACGGAAACCATAAAGTAAACATTAAGTAAGTAAAACAGTTTAAAGGGTCTGAAAAACTATGGAGAATACAGCAATAGAAGGGGACAACACTAAAACCAATAATTCTAAAGATGCTGATTTTGTCGAAAATTGAGGTTAAAACAAGGTTTAGACCAAGACGGCTATGTGGGATTCGGTGTTTTGTGTGTCGTCTAGACCTAGTGGACATTGGGATCGATTCTCCGCCTAGCGAATCCCTTTAAAGGCGGCGTGGAGGTAAGATTTTCGTTGTTTGGCAGCCTGAAATTCAAAATTTAAGTCTGGAAGTCGGTTTAGTGGTTTTTATTGGTTTGTGGCATAGCTGTCTAGACCTAGTGTCCGGGAAAAGTTGATCCGCGCACTGCCCAATCCACTTTAAACGCCGATGAAAGACAGACTTTTCGGTGCTAAAAGTCGAGGCTATCCTGGAAATAGAATTTTTGGATCTTACGAAATTTAACTGATTACCGAAAAGTTATAGTTTCTCGCCTGTAGCGTAGCTGTCTAGGCCTAGTCGATCGTGATGGTCGATTCGCATTAAAAAAAGGTTCCCAGTTCAAACAGCGTATCTGGATCCCATCTTAAAAATCGATGCAGCAAAGTCTTAATCTTAAAAGATGGCAGCCGACCTGACGCGGACTTTCCGGAAATGAGCAAGGGAAGTTTTTCGCTGGGCGGCGGCCAGGGGGGGGGCTCACCGGCTGAAGTTGGACAATAATTATAGGCTAACAAAAAGCGAACTCGGCGGGCGCCTCTCTGAACAATAATCGTCTCATTTTTCGCCCCGCATAATTACGGCGTGGTGGCGACGATTTTGCGGGCTATTTTTAGAGCTAAAAATTGCCGTGGTGTTGTTTCGGTGAGATTTATTTTTGATGATTCAGCAAATTTTTACCTCTGGAGAGGCAGAGCCGCAGAGAGAGAGAGAGAGAGAGAGAGAGAGAGAGAGAGTGAGAGAGAAATAGAGCATGTGAAGGCCTGAGAGCGCGAGGGAGCTAGAGAGTGAGAGAGAGAGCGAGCGAGGGAGAGAGAGGAGAGAGAGAAAGAGTGAGAGAGCTTGAGAGAGCATGAGAGCGCGAGGGAGCTATAGAGTGAGAGAGTTAGAGAGCGAGAGGGAGAGAGAGCTATAGAGAGAGTGAGAGAGCGAGAACGCGATAACGGTTAATGACATATTTAGATCTTAAAATGACGTCTTTATCCCAACGGCATATCGATAAAAATCATAAAAATGACATAAAAACAACTACAAAAATGACAAAAAATAGACTTAATCCCATAATGAAAAAATAGAACAAATAACTTCACGATATGCCGATAAAAAAGATAATAAAGTCTAAAAATTCAAAAACAATGAGAGAAACGGGCTAAAACCGAAATAATTGAAGGTACAAGCACTCCTGCGGCGCCACATCACCCCATTGGGTGCCAATTTACGGGCAATTGATTCTCAGATTGCTGCCGCTACAAGGAGTGGTAAGTGGAGGTCGAGGTAGCGCCGCCCGGGAACCCGAGGTCGAAGCGTTTCTCAATTTCAAGCATCGAGACAAAGTTCCGGAATTGGAGGGTGGTTTGGAGGAGGGAGGTGGAGAGGAGGATGAGGTTGCCCATCTGAAAAGAGAGGGAACTTGACACCCTGGTATGCCCTTTTTGGAATCGGCCATTACGGGCTCGTGCTCAAAATTCGTGCTCCCCAAGCGTTTCCGCTAGCTTACTCAACTTTTACCATGTCCGGATTTCCTGAAGAGTCTCTGCTAATTTGCGCTTCCGGCTCATGCTCCCCAAACGTTTCTGCTAGCTTACTCCACGCTTTCCATGTCTGGCTTTCCTCAAAAGTCTCGCCGAAACTGTTCGGGCTCGTGCTCATAGTTCATGCTCTCGAAGCTTCCCTGTTAGTTTGAGCAATGGTTTCCATCCCCGTCTTTCGCCAGAATTGCTGCTAACCTGTGCTTACGGCTCGTGCTCATAGCTCATCTTCAAGCGTCTCTGCTAGCTTACCCCATCCTTTCAATGTCCGGTTTTCCAAATAATCGCCGCTAGCCTGCCTGTCCTGTTTTTCGAATCAAAGCTTCTCCTACCCACCTTTACTGACACCTCGCACCCGGAAGTCTCATAGTGTCCCCTTAGCTCGTCGAACATGGCATTTTGTAGTGGGTGTTGGGTGGGGGCGGACAGGATACCGGCTATAATTTAAGAAATTGTATACTACGAAGCGAGAGAAAGAGAGCGAAAGAGAGAGCGAAAGAGAGAGCGAGAGAGAGGGATAGAGAGAGAGAGAGTGAGAGAGTGAGAGAGAGTGAGAGAGAAATTACTGCGCTCAACTTACAAATCTGTGTCAACAGCGTGGCAAATAAGAACCCCGTTTCCATTTCATCAAGTCGGGAGGCTTGTAAGCTTCTGGCGGAAACACGAACCAGTTGAGCGAAGAGGGGATGGCAGAGTCTAAGAATGTGACTACAAATTGCGAAATTCCGAAGTGATCCGTGCTAGCTTGCCCTGCAGCAAAAATTTCCTAAAAAATCTATGCTCGTTTGCCTTTAAGCTAATTTCTAGAGCCACCCGAACCGACCTGGTCATACACTCCGGATCTCTGATTTGACCATCTGCTGCGAAAAAGGTGTTCAACCCGTTTGTCGAGATTTCTGTGCATGAGCCATCCTGAAACATTAAATTTCAAATAGCTCTTGCTCTCTCTCTCCCTCTCTCTCTCTGTCTCTCTACCTCTCTCTCTCTCTCTCTCTCTCTCTCTTTCTTTGCTGTCTCTCGCTCTCACGCTGTAGCTCTCTCATTCTCCCTTTTTCTTCCTAGTATCAACACTTACCGGAAAGAAACACGAATCCTTCTGAACACCACCGTATCGTACGGTCATCAGGCACCATTCTAGGACTTCAGAAGCCAGAAATAAAGCTTTGCTGAGTGATGGATCCTGAAAATTGCAGGTTTTGCCTCTATCTTTAGTCATTTCTCTCTCTCCCTCGTTCTCTCCCTCTCTCTCTCTCTCTCTCTCTCTCTCTCTCTGTCTAAATCTTGACAGCCACAATACCTCTTGAAAATTCGGCGACACATCATCCTCGTGCTTCATATTTTGGAAACGATTCATATCTGAAAAAGCATAGTAATTCATCACGGATACCAAAAACTTACTTATAAAATCCCTAAATAACCCGTGTGAGAGGACGAATTCTCGAAAGAGGTCCGAATCAATCTGAAGGCACCGGAGCATCGAGTGGACGGGCGGCATTTGAGGTACCTGAAAATTATGCCTAGCAAGCCAGATTTCTCTCTCTCTCTCTCTCTCTCTCTCTTTCTCTTTCTCCCTCTTTCACTCTCTAGAGGTCTGTCTAACCTGTCCATTCTGATGATAGACCTGACGATGTGTTAGGTAGTCTCTGCGAATATGTAAAATCAGATCCATTGTCGGAGTACATGTGCCGTCCATAGGAAAAAACTGGAAATATATGGATTGTTAGGCCTCGCTTTGAAAACGTACTTTATTCGACCCAACCGGCGAGGTTTCTTCGAGTTGTCGGAGGCGCTTGACTTGGACGTCTAGAAAAGAACCGATGAGTGCGAGAGAGAGAGAGAGATTGAGAGGGAGAACTATACGATACCTTGCGGCGACATCCCTGCGAAAAGGCACTTCTCAAAACGACAATATCGACAAAGTGAAGCTCTCCTTGTGGCTCGACTCAAGCCTAAAAAAGCGACGGTCTTACGGTAGTCAAGATCATTTTTCTGTTCAATTTACAACATTTGAAATAAGAAAAATAAAATGTTATTTAAAAGCTAGAAACGAAGAAAACGTACTGGCTTGGACCGGGCATCGTTTGCTCTCACAGGTGTACACTTTTTGCTCGGCGATCGACCTTCTGAAATAGCAGAGTTAGGAGGGAACATTTTATCTCTCTCTCTCTCTCTCTCTCTCTCTCTCTCTCTCTCTCTCTCTCTCTCTCTCTCTCTCCGTAAATCTCCCTCTCTTTCTCTCTCTCTCTCTCTTTCTTTCTCTCTCTCTCTCTCTCTCTCTCTCTCTCTCTTTATCTCTCTTTTTTCTCTCGCTTTCGCGCTCTCTCTCGCTCTCTCTCTCTTGCTCTCTCTCGCACTATCTCTCCTTCCTCTGATGAAACACGCAGAACCAGGCAAGCTAGCAGAGATTCTTGAGATACCCCGTGTTTGCGCTTCATAGCGCCTTTAAAAACCGCTAATCTCAGTTTCTTTCGTCTAGACATTCTGATAATGTTTTTTGTACCCCCCACAAAAAACACTCGCCATTTTTTGCGGGGATTCCCCCCAATTTGCCGGATTTTCCCACGACCAATACCTCTCCCCCGCGAATCCGATTAGTGCTTGAGGAGAGGGGATTTCCCGACCAAAAATGTTTTTATTTTTTTCGGCTGATTCCGGCTGACCGCTAAATTATTCTATGCCTTTTTCCGGACCACTAATCTGGTCATATAATCATTTTTTGCGCTCTGTGTTTGGGGTTCAGTTGATTTTGATTGGGTTGAGGGTGTAGCGGCCAGTATTTCGGGGGACCAGACTAATAAAAAATGAAAAAATGATGGCCTGCTATTTTCTAGGGTTTCTCCTAGAGCAATCACTTAATTAAGGACGTTTGAACATGTTTTGGGTTATTTTTAGACGTTGCTAAAACCGGAAACATGAGAAAGAGAGAGAGATAGAGAGAGAGAGGAAGAGAGAGAGAAAGAGAGAGAGAAAGAGAGAGACAGAGAGAGGGAAGAGAGAGGAAGAGGGGAAGAGAGAACGAGAGAGACATAGAGAGCGAGAGAGAGAGAGAGAGTGAGAGAGAGTGAGTGAGAGAGAGAAAAAGAGAGACAGGGGAATGGAGTAGAGAGAACAATTTTTTACCCGTAGTAAAGGGACTAGGCAGCGTCATAATCGACCCCTTTCAGCGACTAGGTCTCGACCACTCCGCGATACGCAAAATTGCCCTTATAAACGCCGTTAGATTGGGCTATAAAATTGAGTTTCACAAGTATTTTGGCTCGTCGCGTAGCTGTCGAGACCTAGTGAAAAGAAGGGGTCGATTCTCATCGTTTTAAAGGGGCTGGAAAGGCAGGAAAGCTGGCAAGGCCGTTTTGCCGGTTAACCTGAAAAATTGGGTCATGATTTCAGCTAGTTTTAACCAACGCTAGTTTGGATTTCATCACTATTCAATGCGCATGAATTCTCTAAGAATATAACGATACCCAGGTACGCTTTTTTCGTATAAACAAGCCAGAACGTGATAGCCGTCAAATATTTTCTGATTTCATTTTCCGGATTCTTTCGGGGTTTTGGGTGTTTATTTTCGGTTTTCGTGTTTACAAGTTGATAGCGGCAACAGGGGCTTGATTGACGCTTTTCCGTTTTGGTCAGAAAAAGCCAGAGATCCAGTGTAAAGAGGATTATAGAGGATTTCAACAGACAGAGTATCATACCCGGCAGACCAAAAAGCTTTGTCTGGCTGCACTTTCTAACGATTTTGAGGAGGGAATACGGTAGCGTCGATTAATTTCCAAAAAAGTCTTGAATTTTATCTAAGTCTAAGTCTTAAATTTCTAATGATTTTTAAACGTTAATTTTTAATGCTTTATCAAACACGCTTTTCTACTTTAAAACAATTTTTTTAAAAACGTAAGAATTTTTTTGAGGTTTTGCAAAAAAGCGCGGTCGCTGGGTATTGAGTTTTTTTTTGTGAAGAAAAATGGGGCGAATAATTTCATCTATATGAATATCAGTTACACCTTTAATAAAATTACCTAAAAAACGCGCTGCACGCCGCGCACGCGACCGCTCCAAAATGCATCCCCTCGGCCGGATCAGAACACACGGCACAGTGGCCCATTGCCACCGAGCCGGCGCTCGAGGAAGAGCTGCGACGACGGCTGCCACTAAAATAAAAGTTTACAATTTTGTTACTTTTTTTGATGCGGGTGATCTTCTGATATTAATAAATCAATAATGCTATTTAGCGCACATTAACTGGAAAGCGACACTTTAGCGCAAACTTACTTCGAACTCGACTGACTCGACGTTGACGGCGCGCACATCGCAACGTCCGTGGGAGGCGTGAACATACGCCTAAACCTTGGTCATTACAAAAAGTCAATTGCTTTGAAGTGTTTTATCAAAGCAAAATTCAAATCGTTCAGAAAAGACACTGTTTAGTAAGAGAATTGGGGAAAACTCGTTTATAGTCGTTTCTTTTCCTTGTTGGTGTCACGTCTGATTTCGAAATCCGAAAGTAATAACAAACAATAGAAGATTTATCAATTCGAAAACATAATCATCGTGAGGGTCTTGCCGCGCAGTTCCACAAACAGAAACAGACATAATTCAGATTTTTGTAGAGCGATCCCGGTGAAGGAAGCTAGGGGGCGGGCTTCCGGGTTACTGTAGCGCGAGAGAAAATGAGACAGTTAGAAGGCCGGCGAGCAGAAATGCATTAAACAAGAAAAACATTTTAAAACTTATTTTGAAACGCCTGCCAACAAGCAAAATCGAGTAAATCTCGTAGAATTGGTCCACGGGATCCCGTAGGATCATTCTACCCTAGTAGAACGCTGGGAGACAGTCTTAAAGAAAAGTTTTTCGCGCTCAATACTAATCTTCAAGAAGCGTAGATAAATACAACACATAAACACGAAACAAATCCCGTATATACGGTAGCGTACGCGATGACTACGGTAGACGATCGACGCCTAGGAAAATTCTGATGCCACTCAGAACCTACTGGCGCCTATATTTCAGAATCTACGTCAAAAATTAAATCATTCTCGGTAAAATCCGCAGGGATGGCGGGATAAAAGTGGAGGCGGGTCCCGCCACGAAAAGGTGATAATCTAGCCCCGGGTTCGTCAAATCGTTCGCGCCACCCTGGAGGGCGAGATAATCCGCGAAGCTGCTCCTCCCCCCCACCAGAAGACATAAGACACCAAAAGACGTAACTTTTACGCGCTCCAAATCCGGCCGCCGAAAAGAGAGAGTGAGAGACAGAGAGTGAGAGAGAAGAAATGGATCCCCACCTATTTACCAACACCTAATCGGGGGCGAGCCACGCTGCGACGAGGCTACCGTACCCCCAATCGCGTCAGGACCCACGAATTCCGGGATTTACGGGCGGCCGTCCACGCTTTGAGGGGATTAAGATAAAGTCCAAAATGTTTGCAGAACGCTGCTGACGGGATTCGGGTGCACGGTGGTCAGTTTGGGAAGAACAGCGCTTCCGGGGGCTCTAAAAAGACTCGGAAGCGCCAGAGTCGACCCCCTTCCAACGATAGAATCAGCCACTTGATACGTTACGGACTTTTTCTTAAGGAACTTTTTAGGAAAATTGAAAGATACATTCACAGTGGAGTTTTGTAATGGCTAAATTGCCAGGAAACGCGTAAATCCCCCTCTTCTAGGTCTAGACAGTTGCGACCGGCAAAACGGCGCATTGAATTTACTCTAGAGAGAGCGGTAGAGAGACCGAGAGAGAGAAAGAGAAAGAGAAAGAGAAAGAGAGAGAGAGAGAGAGAGAGAGAGAGAGAGAGAGAGAGAGAGAGAGAGAGAGAGAGAGAGAGAGAGAGAGAGAGAGAGAGAGGGAGAGAGAGAGAGAAAGTGGGGGGTGAGAAAGAGGGAGGGGAGACAGCGAGAGGGAGCTAGAGGGAGCGAGAGAAAGCAAAGAGCGAGCGAGAGGTAAGGAGAGAGCCAGTGCGTGAGAGAGCACGAAATCAGAGAGCAGATGTGACAGAGACCGTAATTTTGAGCTCTTTTGAAAGCGCGAGAAACAATCCTTCTTAACACCAGTTCTCTGCCACTACGCGACACACTAAAAGACGAACGGAAGCGCTTCAGCCCATTTACACCGGCTTAATTCATCTCTAATACCCTGCGAAATACTCTATATGCAAACTACAGTATCCCTGGGAGCAATAACCACGAATTGGACCGGGGAGGCGAGGGTGGGATTTTCTAGTAAACCGCACGAGTTCTCGGGCTGATTACCGCTTATCCCCGCCCGAATTGCGCACATCATGATGGTGGATAACGCTAAAAAGGTTTCCATTCATGAATCTGATATTTTCAGGGAATCGAAAATAGTCACTCGGTCGAGGTTCAAAATTTGAAAATTGAACATACCGTACCGAGAAAATACGGTATTGCGAGAGCTTTAATAAAGGTAATAAGGTGACACCAAATTAAGGTTAGATTGATCCAGAACTATTTATTCTCTCTCTCTCTCTCACTCTCTCTCTCACTCGACTCATACGGTAGCCTCTTTGTTTTTCTGTTTTTTTGAAGACCGACCCAAATTCCGCGGTTGTCCACTGTGCTCTACCGTAACCTGATGCTGACAAATCAAGGTGACAAAACCTGGGGATCAGCGAGTCGTGTTGCTCTTCGCTTCGTCAGCTTGGCAGGGCTAGCACATACAGTATGACTATGATTGCGCCATAAATGCTGATTTTTGAGCTCGGTGAGCCCTGAAGCTGGCGCGTGCCGCACCTAGGAGGTGGCGTCACTTTGAGCATCAGCAAGAAAATTACTGTAGTGCCGTACGTATTTCTGCACAATACCCTTAATTAAAGAGCTATAAGCATTTTAAGTTTGTGGGCTAAAAGAATGGGTTCTGCGCCGTTTCTTGACCCTCTCTCCTAAACATTTTTGACAAAAGTTCGAGACTAACCCTTGTTATCTTTTTGTTTTTTGATTTTTGGTTAGTTGGCGTAAAATCCAAAAAAGCAAAAATTTAGACGTAACAAAAACTTGAACTCGATTACAAAAATTTAAAAAATTTCGCACTCCACCGCACTGCCTACTGCGCCAAACTGCTTGTCAGTTCGCGGACGCAAGAGCTTGAAAAGGGGGGGCACAATGAAGACCAGGTCAGAATTGTCGGGTCGTTTCGTGCTTTTTTATGTAACTTCAAAAGCCTAGAAGTTCCACGTCGTAATTTGCGAAAAACTTCTTGGGCTTGTATCTCGGCTGTCCTTGATTTTGGTGGTCGAGGACGCTCCTCCCGAGACGGTTCAGGTCAAGGGCTGCAAAATGACACATCGCAGGTCCAGAATGAAGCTATCTACGAGTTTAGCCAGCCTCCCAAAATCTCGGCGACAGAACTTTCGTTCCAACCTGATAGATTTCGGTTCTTTAGGATTTCCGGGGGGAAGTATTTCCGGGGAAACCAAATTTTTTCGACCCAAGCCTAAATTTTTTTCTAAACAGCGCATGCGTTTCTAAATGGTTTTTAACTATTCCTGAGCATAAAAACTACCCACATTTTAATTAAAAAATTTAATTTTAGGTCGAAAAATCCTATAGAACCTTTAGGATTAGCGGGGGGGAAGACCCAAAATGACCAATTTTCGACTTTTTCAAATATTTTTCTAACTTTTTTGAAGGGTTTTTCTACTTTAAATATAGTTAAAATTTACTAAAAACCATTTGAAAATACTTTATATTTGATTACTAGGTCAACCGGGAAAACCAGGAAAAAATTTGGTTTCCCCGAAATACTTCCCGGAAATCCTAAAGAACCTAGATTTCAAATGTTCATGGCATCTGCACTACCCCTTACGTCAAAATATGACCAAACAAACCTACGCTGATTCTGTACCCTACGTTTTCTGTCTTAGGTAGGCATAAAAATATTGACGTCCCGCTTGGCACACGGTACTCAACAAATTACCAGGGCCACCCCCCCCATCCCCGGGAAAGTCATCGCCCGCACTGTCATTTGTCAGTATTCTCAGAGTTTTCTGGTCTAACTGGCGTGTGGCGAGTGCGTTCTAGATTTCCTACGCAGAAACTTGAACTTAAAGGGGCTCAGAAGTAAAAATTCGTGCGAGCGGGGATTGAACACATCAAAAAACGAAAGGGTCACTGCCGAGAAGTGCCAAAAACGTTATTTGGTTGCGAAAAAACGTAAATTGTTTGAGCAAAACCGTATTCTTTTTGTGGTAAAAACGGCATTTTGAGGTGCGCGGCGATTACATGTCGTAATGCCTTGTAAGGCACCCAATCTCTCGATCAGGGTGATTCTCTGGTCAATTTTCATAATTTAAATGCCTGGAATGATCAACATTCGTTGAAGATTCCAAAAACAGCATCAGAATTTTGAAATTCAAGCGTTCTCGTGTTTAAACAGAGGCAAAAGATCATGCCGCGCGTCCGCGTTGCGGCCGCATCTGGCTATTTGCCAGGAATCACAGCAGGGGGCCCTGGACCAGATTTCGGAGCCCCTTTAACCACGTTTTCCAGGTGATGCAAGCGAACTGGGTAGAATATAAATAAATAAGCAAAGAATCGAAAAAAGAGAAAACAAACGAATAAATAACCTAAGAATAGAAGAATTGCGGCGTACCGCCTTCCGCGAAAATCTTATAATGTAACCGGGAGCAGAAATTTGCAAATGCCAGGTACTCTTTAAAAGTAATCGTTATAAAAACTGCTAAAATCAATCCTGTCTGCTGGTTCTCGACAGCTGCGAAACACTTAAATGGTCGAAAGTCCTGTAGAAATCTTACGATTCTACAGGACTTACGAGGGTTTAATTAGGCGGGCTTGGCGGGCGGCCAAAGTCTCTCTGGGTCCCGCCGCGCGCCCCCTGCGGGTCACCGTATGGGAGCCGCGCTCGGCCCAGAGAAAGGGATGATTTTCCCCAGTCGTTGCATTTTCTCCCAAACTGGGACAAATGCTGCCAGTCATTTCTATGACTGGTAGGACGAATCGGTTTTGGTGCGATGTGTCCTGCATCCCCGATACCGGTGATCCCGGCGAGCTCCTTTACCCAGTGTGCCCCGTATTCATACCTACCCAGAGCTCTACCCGCATTCACCTGGCCCAGACCTTTCCCTTGGCTCTCCCAATCCAGACCTCCGGTAACCATGTTTTTATCGTGAACTAATAAACTCTTATTCCACAAGAGTGTCCAGGCTATTCGGGAAATGCATCTTAGACTACTGCTGATGAGCCGATCGCGCGTTCTTTTGGTGCAGTCTTTCCTTCAACAGGGTTGGCGGGTGGCAAACCTCTCGCGTGGGCATTATTCCGGGATTTATTCCTGGATAATGCGGGTGCCGCTAGCCTTTGT